TGTGTCATAATGTGTCATGTGTCATGCTGTGTCATGCTGTTTCATGCTGTGTCATGTTGTTTGCAGGCGGCCTCTGTTCTCTGACCATCGACAAAGCTCTGCCCGAGGATGAAGGCCAGTATAAATGCAGAGCTGAGAACCCGGCAGGCAGAGCTGAGTGTTCCTGTACGGTTCTAGTCGACGGTAAGAACCTTCTCATGTGTCTTCATTCAGATGAGCAGCAGTTATTGTGTCTCAGTGGGATGCTGAACGGCTCCACATCCTTTCATGAAGTCAAACAGCCATGATCATGTTGTGTATTCATGCAGTACTTTATAGCAGCACCAGCCCTGATCAGCGACCGCAGACTCTGGGATGTGTCCACAGTTACCAACATCACTCTCAGGACCTTAAGGACAAAAATAGCACACGTTCATGGTATTTTCTACTTTTACGCAGTTAGATTTTTCTAACCCGCATCGATCCTGATCATAAATATCAAATATCAGTTAGTTTTTTTCCCTCCTCAAACTGTTACAACATCTCCACACTGCCTTCAGAAATTCTTCCTAGTTTTGAGCATTTGCACTTTAATTTGGCTTTTAGGAAGAACTCACACTGTGTTTCATATTCTGTGTTTGTCCAACCTGATTCTTTAACCGCATGAACTCTGAGAACAAAGTGTTGTGATCTGATCCTCTCCTTTCAGTTGGTCCTCTGAACACTAACATCTTCAACAAGTCCTCATTTTTTCTATGTTTCTTTTGTGTTTTGCACGAATGAAGCCTCAACACACTTTCCAAAGTCGCTCTGTGAGTCGAAGGCAAAAGGATTACAGGTTTATACTGAAAATACCTTCGGTATTCACTGTCGCCCTGCTCTGTTTCCCCTCCAGAGTGTTTGATTCACTCACACAGTCAGACTGGAAGAAGTTGATGTCCAGCTGCATCAGACATCCGCCTGAAGCCCCTGAATGGAGCTCAGCATTCAGAGTCTGAGAGCAGATGTTTGTTAGATCGATAAAGACCAGCACAGACCTCCTCCCTCCGTCTCATTTACCAGGATTCCTCTGTTTCCTGTAATTAGAATAAATCAACACAAACACTTTTTATCAGAGATCTCAAACCGTTCCTGGAAGCTGGCGGCTGAAGGATTTAATCAGTTTCTTTGGAAACAAAAAGATTGTTCTTCATGCAGGATTTTAATATTTAGGACCACACATTTGTAGGGACAGAAATGCTTGATTCCACCACCTATTGAACTATGTATGGATTTGTAGAGCAGCTGTGAGGAACCAGACAGCAGCCTGTGTTTAAAACTGAAGCCGTTCACATGTTGAATCCTGATCTGCATCCCCATGAACACTTTCATAGTGAGAATGTCAGAGGAGCACAAACCACAGACATTTCAAAATACTAAAGTCAGATGGAGACTCTAAGGGTCAGGAAGTTAGCTGCTATGTTAGCCAAAGCAAGCTAATGCTAGCCAGTACATTAGCCAGCCCATCCTGTAGGTAGAAGGTCTGCTGCACCACATCATCTAACAAGGAATGTTGGCTTTTATGTTAGCCTTAACAGATGCCACTGTTGTCCCTTTACCACGTTTGTGTAATCTGATGTACTTCATTGTTCCTCACCTGTGCTGAAGACTTATTTCCGGTTTATTTTATTTATTTATTTTTTAGCTGCATATACCTCTGTATATACTCGTTATACTGTTTGTTTATTTGTGTAATGTTGCAGAGCATCCTGGTGTTACTGCTGTCACAGACTATGTTCTGCTGCTCTGGTAGTTGGCCTCCTTTTGAGGGCCCTGGGTTTATTTTACGATTAAGACAAGAAGGGGGGTAAAATATGTGTAATATCTTGTATGTCCACTGTTATATTCCCAATTTAAAAAGATTAATTTAAAAAAACAAACAAGCAGATGATGACATCAGTACAACCTGGTGTATGACATCAGATGTGCAGCATCTGGTACACGTGGACACCAAACCCAGCACCCACTGTTTGCTGATGCAGCCTGGACGCCTTGTGCTGCTACAGCAGGGACTCAGGGAGAAGGAGCTTCCTGCTGTGGACACACAACGATTCACCTGAACGCACTGAAACACAGAGAGGTGTTTACGTCTGAGTGCTGACCAGCGCACCAGTTCATTTAGTTCTGTCATATGAATTCATGTGTAAGCCTCCCGCAGTCGAGCGCTTTCTCTGTGCTTCCTGTTTCTCTGCTACATCAAGTCCTGCAGCTCTGAGGAACCAGAACATGAAGGAGGAGAGACCTCAGAGACGTCTGCTGTCAGCAGGACTTACAGAAATAATGAAAACATTTCTTTGAATATTTGTATCACAGACAGTGTAATTGAAGCTCAGCATGTGGGTTTGGGGTTGACCGGGTTGACGTGGAGCTTGTGGTTAGTTCCCTGTTAGCTGATGAGTGTCCTGAGTGTTCTGAGGCTGTGGAGCAGAAGGTGAGTTTATTGTGGAGGTTTCCAGACTCTGCTCTCATGGACACTTACTGTGTTTAAAGAGTGTCACAGCGGTACAGCTCAGTGTAAACACTGATATGCACACAGCTCCAACCCTCTCTGTGTCTCTCGTCCTGCAGATCCAGCAGAAAACTCTCCGGCAGACAAAAAGTCCAAGAAGGCGACTCCGACCTCAGAGAGTGAGTTTCCAAAATATGCAGCAGCAGACGCCTCGCTTTTGTCCCAATAAGGAGCTGCAGGCTGGGAGCACTGGTTCCCACACACACACACACACACACACACACACACACAGAGTCGCAGACACACACACACACAG